TATTACAGGAGGGGGCGGAGACAAGACCAGTCACCCTGCACAAGGAGAGAGAGCGGCAGTGACCGGTCTGTATTACAGGAGGGGGCGGAGACAAGACCAGTCACCCTGCACAAGGAGAGAGAGCGGCAGTGACCGGTCTGTATTACAGGAGGGGGCGGAGACAAGACCAGTCACCCTGCACAAGGAGAGAGAGCGGCAGTGACCGGTCTGTATTACAGGAGGGGGCGGAGACAAGACCAGTCACCCTGCACAAGGAGAGAGAGCGGCAGTGACCGGTCTGTATTACAGGAGGGGGCGGAGACAAGACCAGTCACCCTGCACAAGGAGAGAGAGCAGCAGTGGGCGGTCTGTATTACAGGAGGGGGCGGAGACAAGACCAGTCACCCTGCACAAGGAAAGAGAGCAGCAGTGGGCGGTCTTTATTACAGGAGGGGGCGGAGACACTCACACAGTCCCTTCCTGTCCTTCTTGTTGCGGTGCCTCTCCTTGTCATGCCCGCTGTCCTCCCCCATCAGCATCCTCTGCAGCTCCTTCCTCTCCTGCTCCTCGCGCTCTCGGGACAGCTGGGAACTGGTCTTCTTGTTCTGCAGCATGTTCTCGATGTTCTTCCCCATCTCCTCGTAGTCGCTGTCCTCTGCTGAGCTGCTGTCTGTGTCTGTGGACAGGACCTCCGCGGACTCCAACACCCTGCACGGGGGACACCGGGAGGGACCAGGGTCAGGGAGGAACTTTCTATTACAGTATATATATATATGGAATGTTCCAGAAGGTTCTGCACGCAGGTTCTGTGGGTTCTTCTCATAGAACTCCCTCCGGTCCCCAGCACAGGAAGTCTGGACCTCTCGGAGGATTGCAGGAGGGATGTCCAAACTCCGCCCCTCCAGCTGTGTGGTGGAACTACGACTCCCATGAGGCATTGCAAGATTCTCACAGCCACGGGCAAGACTCCCGGAGAGAGAGATGCATCATGGGATTTGTAGTCTCAACCCCAGCTGGAGGGGCGGAGTTTGGACATCCCTGTACTAAAACATGAGAAGAAAAGAATCTGCAGAGCAGAACTCTGACCCAATCCGAGCTCATCCAATGATCGTCTATATCAGGGGGGAGCCAAACTCCGCCCCTCCAGCTGGGGGTGGCACTACAAATCCCATGAGGCATTGCAAGATTCTCACAGCCACAGGCAAGACTCCCGGAGAGAGAGATGCATCATGGGATTTGTAGTCTCACCACAGCTGGAGGGGCGGAGTTTGGCTCCCCCTGACCTATGAGAACGAAGCTCAGAGATCGTCCAACGTACTTGTTCTGCAGATCGAATATTCGCTGACATTCCTCCTTGTATCTCTCCTGGTGCTCAGCCACCGAGAACCGGGACCCCCGGGCAAATTTACTCATGGGCCCCTCCCCGGAGCGCGCCTGTTCTGTGGACATCGTTCTCACCACATCAATGACCTCCCATCGAGATAACTTCTTGATCTGCAAGAAACAGAGGGGGGCCACGTTACAAATCAGGGGGCCACGTTACAAATCAGGGGGCCACGTTACAAATCAGGGGGCACGGCAACAATGTATCACCGACATTCTACTGAGAAGGGGCCGAACATAGTCACAGAGAAGGCTCCAACATTGGCCCCTAAATATAAAGTACGGGCCCCTTTCTATGTGGCCCTCCTGGAAGATGAATGCTACGTGGCCTGTGCTCACCTCCTCCTCCGGGACCCCAAACTTTCTCAGCAGCTGTTTGGCATTCTTCAGGGAGAGTCTGCGCAGATCGGCATCCGTTCCGGTTACAGTTTTCTTCACCGGCTGCGGCTCCTTATCATCTTGCTGCTACAAAACCAGATCAAACAAACATCAAATCCTGCTCCCGACACGCCCTCCCGTCCTCCGAC